CAGACATAATTGGGGAGGATGCTTTTTAGAGTACCAAACATGTATTGAATTTAACTCTTTCTCACATGACTAATTTTAGCTCATAAGCCACCTCTGGTACTTCATCAACACATAGCGTAGGACAGCTCTGAAATAGTTATGCCAACTCACTAGACTAGAGAACTTCTAAGCACTGACATCTGTACCCACCAGCATTTGCCAATGATAATCCCCTACTTTTCTAGAGAAATCACTTACTTCCATATCTTGGTCCTTATGTACATAAAGAATAAACTAACTCTAGCCGGCAGCAGACAAATTTATATTTCTTTCTCAGACATAGATTCTCATGAAATTAAATCAAAAGGAGTAGAGACCTTATATGTTTGTTTCATTAAATTCATCACAGCCTGCCTTTTGTGATTGTATAAACTTCATTTTCACATTTTAAAGATAAAACATATTTGAAACGAGTATTTGAATAGCCATGTATGTATGTTCCCAGTGATATCATAAACCTCTGCCTAGTGTGTCATCTACAGGGCCCTGCTGATGCTACTAAATGCTTATGAATATTCAGAGTAGCCCTGGCTCAGGTCAGGTGAAGACTCATTAGCCATCACATAGTCTAATTCTAGGAAGTGGTAGGTAGGACAGGATAAATGTGTGTTAGTTTCCTCATATTTCCACATAAAGTGTGCAAAAATGCAAACGCCAAGCTACAAATTTCAGGCAGGTATTGTTTCATGCAATAGCGCATTTCCATTCCCTCTTCCTCTACTCCAAAGCTCACTTTTTGAGCAAGCAATTGCAACAGTAAGCATGTTGTGAAAAACATAATTTGGTAAAGGAGGGTCATGATACCTCAGCAGACTAGTGGTTTATCTGATCTGACACCCAGGAAGAAAGCAACTCAGGCCAAGCCAGCTGTGTAATTTGAAGTGCTGGATATAATCCAAAGATGATGTGCTATGAGCACTCATAGTAAAAATGTAGGAAAATTGCTGTATTAGAACATTTTCCTCTTTCTTTTTTCAGTAACCCTTTGAGAAAGCAGTTCATTTTTGGCACATGGTTTTTCTTGGGACTTTTCTACTTGTTCAGGTCATGGTAATACAGCATTGGGATGGGTAGGATTATCCAATCATAGAATGTGAATAATGTTTCTACCATATAGGAGAGCGATAAGTCAGTGACTTCAGTGAACCACATTTTCCTCATCTATTAAAATGAAATAATAATTAAATATTTATTATTTAAATAATGTGTATAAAATTCTTGGCAAGTACTAGGGACTCAGTTGATAGTAGCTGTTTTTACTATTTTTTCAATACACTCATAATTCCAAGCCACTTCATTTTTTCAAAGTTGAAAACTAAATTATATAAAAATGATTCTACACCACAATAAATTGCCTGATATAATTTTTTTTTCTTTTTGCTAATATCACTATGGCTCAAAGACTCAACTATCTGATTGCATGGTTGGCCTTTTGGTCATGACCAGTTCCCACTCTGAATCATCTCCTTCGCATAAACTCAGATGTAGTCCAAGGGCGCACCGTGAATAACAAAGATGCCCCTATCATTGGGGAAATTCCAGGAATTTAGAGTCTCCCCTCAAGGAACTAGGAATAAATGCTAGTCAGATTTTTTATTATACAATAGTTGGATATTGCAATCACCTAGAAGCTTTTTAAAAAAATGTTCATGCCTGGATCCCACTGAGAATTCTCATTTAATGGTCTGGGGTGCAACCTGAATATAAGGATTTTAAAATTCTCCTCCAGATGATGCTAATATACTCTACAGGCTATGCTGCTGCCCCCACATTTTCCCCTTAGTTTGAACTTCTAGGTTGTGTGTGTTCCTCCAAATTAGACTGGGATTGCTGGCCTACTTATGGGAGCTCCAAGCATTGTACTTGGCTGGGGCCAGACATCTTATGATTGAGGTCAGGTCTAGGGTGTCTGTGTCTCACAGCTTCAAGTGGCCCATGCATAGCATAGTCTATGTGAATGGCACTACTAGATTTATGCAACATACATACTACACTCTACAGGGTGGCCATGCCTTTTACTTTTTAATTAAAATGTATTGGGGTGACAATGGTTAGTAAAATTTGATAGGTTTCAAGTGTACAATTCTGTAATACATCACATTGTGTGTTTACCACTCAGAGTCAGTTCTCCTTCTATCACCATATATTTGATCCCTTTTACCCTCATCTTCCACCCCCTCCCCCTTCACCCTCTAGTAACCACTAAACTATTGTCTGTGTCTATGAGTTTTTGTTTGTCTTGTTCATTTGTTGCTTTCAGTTTTATATCCCACATATGAGTTAAGTCATATGGTTCTTGACTTTTTCTGTCTGACTTGTTTCGCTTAGCATAATAATCTCAAAATCCATCCATGTTGGTGCAAATGGCACTATTTCATCTTTTCTAATGGCTGAGTTGTATCCCATTGTGTATATATACCACATCCCAGGAAAGGGATTGCTGGGTCATATGGTAATTCTATTCTTAATGTTTTGAGGCACCTCCACACTGCCTTCTGTAGCTGCTGCACCAATCTGCATTCCCACCAACAGTGTGTGAGGGTTCCTTTTTCTCTACAGCCTCTCCAATACTTGTTATTATTTGTCTTTTTAAAAATCAGTTTTTTATCCATCTTTTGATTGTGAAATAAACCATGTTGTTTTCCATTGAAGGTTCAGTTTGTACTTGATTATTAATTTACTGCATTATTCAGTAATCTTTTATTTGTATCTATTAATATTTCAAAGTTAGTGTTTTGAAAATATATGATTTTATATACCATCAATGTAAATAGAAGTAGTATAGTGCATTTCTTCTGGAGACCTGCTGAAATTTTTAAAGGCATTGCTTCTCCAATCCCATAGAAAATGTCCTGGAAGGCACTGCTCATGCCAATGAGTTGGTTTATTGAAAAGTGAAAAATACAGTTCATCACCCTTAAGAAAAATGAGTAGCTTGAATTTTCCAGGAAATTAGTTTAATCTAAATTGTTTTGATTTTGCTTATATCCAGTCAAAAGTTAACACATTCCTGCAAATTGATTTTAAACTGTAAATTTCAAGGGGTATTTATTTTACTTTATCAAAATGTAATGAACGCCTAACATGTGCATGGAGAAGATTGAGAATGACAACTGCCACCACCACAAAGACTTGGCTCTGCCTTCTAGATACTGGTATCTGGCTAAAGGAATGACAACAGAGTGTAAGTTCCACAATGGAGATGGGTGTTAAGTTCCTGGAAACGTAGAGAATGCAGCTTCTGAATTCAATGTTAGTTGGGTGAGTTTTTGAGAAAAATTTTAGACAGGTGACATTTTTATTGGCTTTTAAAGACTAATGTGGAGTTTCTTTTACTTGGATAAGGTAGAAGAGTATTCCAGGTAGAGGGAATAGCCAGAACAAAGGAAGAAAGGACTGATAATTCATAGCTGTTTATGAACTGGCTATTGACCTAGTCTAGTGTTCTTACGAGTACGTTGGATGGAAGTATGGCAAGGGCACACTTCATGCAGACAGAAGCTTTTTTGGAAAACTAAAATATTATCTTCTTATCTTTGTTACATACCATGAGAGGATTCCTGATACGCACTAGCTGGTGTGTGTGTGTGTGTGTGTGTGTGTGTGTGTGTGTGTGTGTGTGTATGTGTTGATGTCTTTAAGCTTATTTGGACTTTTCTTCAAGTAAAAGAATATTTTTCCTTTGCTTTTCCTATGATTAAAAAAAATTATTGCATGTGCTACCATACTTCAAACAAGGTAAATATAAATTTTATAAACCATATTTCAGGAAAGCAATATAAATTTTACAAAAATACTACTTAAGATCTAGGAAACATCTATTGGTTTTGAGTAATGTAGAAGTACATATGAGCAAACTTGTAGAAGGCAATACATCTAAATAACATATGATTAATATTATCAGATTATGCATTAAAGAAGTATTGTCTATGATAATTTTGTAAAAGAGTTATCTGGGAAAGCTTCTTGTTCTTACTCAACACAGTCAAGAACTCAATCAGCAGATCAATGCATGGAGCCATTCACCTGTAATATTGTGGGTGTGACAACATCCTTAAATAAAACTGGCTGAGAGTTCTCTGCCATTTTTTTTGAGTATATTCACTGAATAAGACATCTTATACATTAGAACAGGACTATGTGTATATGGTCAGTAATTCAAATAAGTTTAATCATTTTTATTAGACTTGCACTGGAGTGTATGATCCACATATACATGATGCTATTCTTATAACAGGAATATTCCAGTTTAATGAATGGTCTCTCCTTTGAGACCAATGTCAAGTATTTTAGAGGTACTTAACTGGAATTACAAATAATTGAGTCAATCATGGATTATAGATTTTCATCATATAAAACTGAGCTGCATGGAGATTCAACCTGAAACTTTGGTCTCTGTGTTCTTTCTATCCACATCAGATATCACACATAGAAGTGTTTGTTTAGGTTGTGTGTGTGTGTGTGTGTGTGTGTGTGTGTGTGTGTGTTACATCCTACTTCATTCTAAAAATGATTTGAGGTTGTTTGACTTATATGTGTAATGCAGAAAAATTTGCTATATTCTGTTCAAATTAGTTAATCAAGGAGGCCATTAAACTGAGGTGGTTCTAATGCCTTGGTAGCCTATGGAAGCAACCCAAAATCTATGCCTGTAAATGCCTCAAAGTTATGAAATCAAAACCTAAGGACAACCAAACAGCCAACTAGGCTTTAAGCTATTACCCAATCAATAATTTCCTGACTTTGCCTCCCACTTTTCTCTATAAAAGTCTCTCCCCATGTTCCTGTCAGTGGAGGTTTAACCACTTTCAGTTTGGTGCTGCCCAATTGCAATAGATAAATGCTCAAACTCTTAAAGTTTTTGATATACCTCAGTTTATCTTTTAACAGTTCAGTATATTTAAAAATATGGAGATCTCAGAAAAATTTAAAAATAAAAAATACTTTGTTTCCTCCATCAGCTGTTAAGAAGAAGGCTAGCTTTATCACTCCAGTTCCAGGAGGCGTGGGACCCATGACAGTGGCAATGCTTCTGAAGAACACCCTTCAAGCAGCTAAAAAAGTCATTTACTAAATCATGTGAAATAATAAAGCAAATGGAAGTCATGCTATTTATTTAACAAAAGGAAAAATACCTTTATATTTTACTACAAAGCTATCTGTTTCTACATTGTATTTATTTTTTCATGGATGGAATCATTGAGGCTAAGATGATTCACATAACTTGATGCATTTCCTGCTGACACATTTTGAGTTTTAGGAAAAAAAAAATTCCAAGGAAAGCTTTGGTAGCAATTGTTTATTTTGTGAATAACATTTGTTTATAAGGTTAAAACAATAAAGGGCTCATAATAAATAATATATTTTTGACACAATTAGGTATCACATGCCATATCTTTTCAACAAATGTTTTGTCAGCCAAATGGCACCCATGTCAAATGTAATTTAGATTTTGCCATAATCATGATCAATTTTTATGTATTTTATGTTCTATATCATATGCTGAAAAAGAGCTAACTTGCTAAAAGAAAGATAAAATATAAAAAATAAAATCTTGATCTCATATATCTCCCAAATGTGTTCTATGAGCCATTATAATAGGCAATGATGTTCTATTCAAGGAAAGAAAAGTATACAAGGAAGACAAAAATAATATAGTGCTACTTTAAAAGTAATGATTATTTCAAATTGTGAGTGATGACTTGCCATAGTAAAAAATGTAATAAGAATGTATTTGGTTTACATGTAATTTATTTGTTCTTCTAGATGAAAAATATGTGGACAATGCCTTCTTTGAGGAATAATGGAAAATCCAAAAGCAAACAAATACAAAAACCAAAACTAAGGTGGTCTTTTCCCACAAATATCAGAAAAATAAGACATAGTGTGGGTGAGGCCTTCATTAAAGAACAGCTGTTATGTTTTTTCACAAATTCAGAAATCTAATGGGAAAACACACCTACAATGTGCCAGTGCTAAACCTTAGGATATGTCTAAAAATTTACTGTTTTCTTGTCCACAGTTCTTTCCTCTTCTTTTATAGCCTTTGATTCTCAAAGTTGATGCCGTATTTCTAATACAATTTAAATTAGGACATACTTTCAGTTTAGGCTATTTTGAGACTGCTGTAGCCACATAATTGTATTGTTTTCATACCTAAATCCCAGTATATCTATGTGTTAATAATGATTCTTACCCAATGCATGTCTCTAATGCTGTGTACACTTGATCATTTATACGAAAATAGACTAGATGTTTATAATTAATAGTATTTCAACTGTATAATAAAAGCAATTTGAATAAGAATACCTGTCTTTTTCTTCCTTAAGATATCTGTTTCTTTGTTCATATAATCTATTTCTTTACAACACGCTGGGAAATGTACAAGTTTTTCAAACATGAAAAATAAATGTTCTATAGCCCATTCTACAATCAGTCTAGATCAATCTTTGTCTGATAACCCTGACAGAAGTTTAAATTTAAAGCTCCCAAGCAAACATTTCAGAAAAGAGCCTTTTTAATTCTTAAGGGCCGCAAATTCACAAAACAAAATTAAAAAAAGGCTCAAAATACATGTACACGGAAAAGGTGAAGTCTGTCTTTTTGAGCCCACCCACCCTCCCCGCAAAGTGCAGGAGGAGTTATGTTTGAGAGGTTTATGCCCCTTTGGCTAGGCTAAAATTCAGGAGTGGGCCTTTCCAGAAACTAATTAAAACACTGTAAAGGAAAAATTATTCTGACATTTGTTAAAAATGGCAAGGAACACAGCATTCAAGACTATTGCAATACAGCAGATTATACTCAACTCTGAATAGAGCAGAGACAGCTGTGGATTTATAGCCAGCGAGCAGAGTGAGGGCATCAGTGGATGAAAAACTATCTAGAGAAACTTGATTAGACATCAAGGGTAGGGGGATTCTTGCTAAAGACAGGCCACCGACTTAGATATGCAGGGTGGACTTGATCAGATATTGGAGCGGGGGGACCAAAACTGATTTAGCAGGGTTCCTTTTTAAAACTGCTGCGCAGGCCAAGTAGAGGGCTAGTAGAGAAGAGGACTCAGAGGAGCCTAAAGTTTGGTCAAGGAGGAAGCCTTTGTCAACACATAAAGAAGATAAGTTTGGTTTGTTGCTACTATGACTTTATTTATGGACATTTGGGGTCCATAAAAGATAGACATATGATGATCTTGTGCAGGAGCTTTGGAGAAGTAAATTTCCTTCTCCTACAAGTATTAATGGGGACCCTACAGAATTAATGGGGATTGAACAATAATGCAAAGATATGGTGGGGAGAATGAGCTTAGCATATACAAAAGGTGCCAATAAAATGTATACACATTTTAAAAATGGAAAAGACTATTAAAATTACACTGATGGTAACCATTTTGAGCACCTCTTGTAATTGCAGAAGTCAAACATGACTTGTATTCATCTTTTGTTATTGGTATATATTATTACAATTTTAATAGTTTTTTCCTTTCTTAAAATGCATATACATTTTTGGCACCCTCTGTATATATCAAAGCAAGGCTATATACTACAATGAAAAGTGTGTGTTAGAGAGTAGTGGAAATGCAGCTGGATAAGTATGTAGAAATAGATTAGAGAAAGCTGAATAAATTAAAAATTTAGAGTGTATTAAGTTTGAGAATTGTAATTAGAGCTTGGAAGGTGTTATCATTGATTAACATGAAGTCGTAAAGGGGAGATGATTTTGGAGAAGTGGTAACACGTTCAGTTTAAGACATGTTGAGTTTGAGATGATGACATAATATGTAAATAAAAGCCCCGATGTAATATCAGTCTAGGAAGAAAATGAGAATTCATGGCTAGTGATGAAAATTTACAGCTCATCAGCATGTATTAACCACTAAATTCCTGACCTTACAATTATACATCCCCTGTGCCTTTCTACATTTGTTCAATAGTAAGTTATCCTTAATTGAGAGTCCCTCACATGCTAAATGCTTTCCTTTCTTTATGATATTGACAGTATCCCTTTGATACATGAGCAAATTTACTGTAAGGGTTTTTAAAAAGCCTCAGCCAAGGCCAAATGGATAGCAACTGTGGAATTAGGTTTCAAAATGAGTCTGTTGAGATGATGTGAGCCAGAACCCACTCTCTTTTTACTACACCATTCTGCCTGCTCTTGGTGCCTCTCTCTCCCCCGCCAAGAATCCTTTATCTGATCACTGTATGTCAAAATTCTACTTGTTATTTAAGATTCATGTCTAATGAAACATGTCCATGAAAACTGCTATGAGAGTTTAAGTCCCACCCCTGAAATCTCATCATTTATATACACATTCATGGCAGTTATCAGTCCCTACCCTGTACTGTAGTTATGTATATATTTTCCTTAGCTCCCTTTAGTTCCTTGAGGCAACAGTCCACATGTAATTTGTCTATTTTTCTTGCAAATACCATAACACGCAGCCCAGCGCCATGGCTGTTGTAGGCATTCAATATTTTATTAATGCATAAATGAGCGAATGACAACTGAATCTATGAGATTACAAAATACGTTCAGAGAGAGATAAGCAATAGACTAATGACCATTTTTGGCCAATGTCCAGCAACAAATTTTGGTTAACTTACTGAAAGAACAAGAAAGAAAAAGAAAGGAAAGGAGGGGAGAGAAAAAGAATGGAAAGAAAGTGGAAAGAAAAGGAAGGAGAAGGGAAGGGAATAGGAGTGAAGACATTTGCAGAGATACTTACAACTAGAGGAACAAAATGAATAAATTAAAAAGACATAAAAAGTTGCAGGAGGGAAACATAACAGAGGAGTGCTGCAGCTCTCAGCCTTTTCTTTTCTCCTTTCTCATCCAACCCGCTCTCATGTGTATGAAGGATGAATAAAGGTATCAGTGAGGCCACCTTGCAGTACCCATCTCCCTCATTCTTCAGGATTGGGGCAAAGACTTTCTGATGAGAGGGCTAAAGAAGTGAAGGTAGGAGACTGTTGGATCCATCAGTATGAGTTCCAGAGGAAGAGAGGCATGTGGGACGACTGAAAGCTATTTTCTGCTATAAACCTTAAACTGAAGTGATGGATGAGTTTCTATATTATGTGGCCCAACTCATCAGAGTAGGAAAACATCTAGAGAGACAGAGGTCCATTTCCTTCAGCCCGAATGTGTGCAAAAGCCACAGTTCAATTAATATTTAGATTTTTATGATAAAGGCAATTTATGTAAAATTTGATTTTAGGAGATAATTAAGAAAATTCCTCAAAGAGCAGTATACCAACTCCTACCAGAGAGCACAGCTGGGGAAACGGAAAGGACATATGATCCAGAATCCAAACATAGATTCAAGTCCTGATCTGCGCGGGGCCTTTGGCAAGGCACTTAATTCTTTTGAGCCTCTACTCCTCATTTGTAATATGGGAGGAAAAGTAAGACCTGTTTTTTACTTCTGTATTCACTCAAGACAGATTCATTGAGTATATACTATATGACACACGCTGCATTTATTGGGGCCAGGATTACTGAAGAAAGAATGAAGATGTGTATGAACACCTTCTGTAAAATGTAAAGCACTTTGGAAGCACCAGTTAATAGTTATTACAAAGATGGTTATTGTACTTCTATGCCTCAGATTTAGAAGTGAAGATAGTTAATATTAGTCTTAGCTTCTTCCTCAAGAAACTGCAATTGCTTGTGATGATTTATTTAATCCTTTGTAAATGATTCCTTCTTACAATCTCACCAATGGTGCGGAAGATGATTGTTTGACTTATAACTCAAATATTATTTACCTGGGAAAAAAATCCAGAAATTATTTTAATAATAAACAGTTTAAAAATCCCCACAGAAGTAGAAATACAAAATGTAGGTACATTTAAAGTGAGCCAAGTACTATATATTCTTTTAACTTTAAAATGGTGACATCTGTGATGATTGCCCAAATTATAATGAGTTCAACAAGCTCACTCTTGTGTGATTTCTAAAGCCAAATTTATATTTGAATAGTAATAGGAATCCTTTCTGGTAAATTGAATTTGCTGGGTGGACATGATGCAAATGATAACGTATCTTAACTTAAACAGCTTTTCAAGATACAGAAAATATGAGCAATTGAAATTCCTGAGGAAAAGGCACAACACCTCCACAAAACATATTTATAAATTATTCATCATAATTTAGGGCAAGTGAAAATTTATAGGAAGCTCCTTATAGTCACATGTTTTGACCTTTAAAATGATACTTTAATAATCATAACTAGATTAACAGTGAGAAAAATTTGAATGTTGTGTTAAATTTAAAACTTTGTATTCATTAGATGTAGCAAAACTCAATATTTCAATTATATCTTAAAGAGAACTTTTATCATCATCATCATCATCATCATCATCATCATCATCATCATCATCATATTTTGCTTCTTTGCTTGTCCTCTCTAACCTACTCATTAGGGCACAAATTTAAGCATTGTAGTTTCTAGAACTTTGGTAGCCCATTCCATTGACTCAGAAAACTTTTAAGTGCCAAAATGACATAATGGTAAATGTTATACTATTAAAAATAATTATTTTTACAGAACTTGTAATAATAAAACTAGATAGCAAAAAACTAAAATGGAATATTAAACCTGTTTTTACACAAATGTAATTGTTCTCCCCTGCCACTAAATTACAAAATCTCTTCATTTTCAGTGAAATCCAGGCTATACTGAAAGGCAGTGTAACTAACTGACGGCAGGTCCAGAGAGATTCTTTTATGAACAGGTTATGCTGTTTTCTAGTTTGCAAATATCAAAACTCGCTTTGTTGGAATCCAATCTAGGTTGCTAGCCACTTTGGAGCTAGTACAATCCTGTTTATACCAATGGGACCTTTGCTGAATTCAGGTTGTTTTTTGTTGTTTTAAGTACTTTTACCTTCCCGATTATGCCCACAGGTTACAGGAAATCAGTGTTTTAAAAGAAACCTGATCACACAGCGAGATAATACAGGTATCCTAACCGAGAGTGTGAGTGCCTCAAGGCTTTAGGTTGCTGCCAGAAGTACATATTTTTTTGATTGGTAAGAACTGCCAGATGACGCTTCATGAAATATAAATGCAAGAAAGGCTCAGAGGGCTCCATAAACACCTTCCACCCGTCAGTCTAGGAGGATAAGAGCAAGGTACTGTTAACAAGTGCAGGAGATGGCTTTCGGTGTCGTTTCAATATCAGTCTATATCTTATTCAATGGTAGGTAATTTCTTTTTGTTTTGTTAATTTTGTATCAGTGTAAAATGTGAATAGGATTTGTTTTCTCTGAATTAGTAAGAAGTTGGCTTTTAGCAGTTGTTCTTCATGACAACTATTAGAGCAAGGAATCTGAATTAATTTAGTTTCTTATGTAATGTATGTTCTTCTCCTAACATATTTTGACACCTATTTTTTTTTAAATTGTTTATTGGGGTGACAATTGTTAGTAAAGATACATAGGTTTCAGGTGTACTTTTTTTGAGACTTTTAAATATTTGCTTTATAAAACTGAAGAGTGGTAATTACATTTTAACTACTATTCAATAGTGTCCTTGTGATTGAATCAGTATATAAGTATATTCACTTTCTCTTAAATATTACTATGTTTCTATTTTCTATAATTATAATATAGTCAGTGGACTTGGTATGGATTGGAAACTAACTGTCAGGAAATTGCCCTAGTCAGGTAGGTTATGGATCTCAAATGTAAATGAATTAAAACTAGAACCTAAGTGGGAATAAATAGGATAACTTTCAATCTGTTGCTTGTACATAGAAGGAGGCTCATCTGCTAAAGATGCTTTTTTCCCTCATTCGTACAGCAATGGCGGCATTGACTGAAGAGGTGACCGTGAATGTAACACCCACAATAACTCAGCAAAGTAACTGGACAGTTAACAAAATAGAAGGTATTTTCTTGGCACTTTTTTGTTTCAAGTGACTTCTTTTTAACCTTTTAGAGAAGTTTGGAATGTGACAAAAATAACACTGGAAAACTGTAAAATATGTATTTTATTATTAGATAACCAACCCTTAGCATGATGCTGTTAAATGGAAGTGACAGATAGATGTGTCAGCAAATAATTGCCTTTTAAAAAAGAGGAAGTGAAGCAAATGAGAGAAAGAAAAGGTATCTTTAGTTACTGTCCTGAATGTGAAACATGACACAATTTCTGCTTGATTCCTGCATGGTTCCCAATAACCTACGTGTGTCCAGAGACAGTCTGTCACCATTTTGGCAATATATTTTGATCTGTGACTATGAGCTTTGCAGCCAAATAAATTATGGCTACAAGATGAAACTGTAATTCACATCCCCTCATCCTTGGAAACATCGTTTTTCTTGTTTGTTTTAGGGGGCTTTTGTTGTTGTAGCATAGGCTGTATTTCCTAACCACTTCTACCTAATTTTTGTTGTTGATGGTGATGATAGGTTTTCTTTCCTATTTTATTATTGCTATTAGAATAGCGTCTGGTTGCAGTAGAGCATCAGCATTTTTCCAAACCTGTTTGAACTCTTAGAGGTGAACTTGGAAAACTTGTTCCCTGCCAAGACCTGAGTGCTGCGTGGTTATGACTCTGACACAAATCACATACTGCCCTCTACTGTGGAGATCAGTGATGTGACATTGGACAGAGGAAACACCATATCTTGCTTTCAGAGCCAGCAAATAAAAGACCAAATCAAATATTTTGCTTCTGAATATGAAAGATAGTAATATTTAAGTATTCTTCATTTTACCAACAATTTTAAATTGAAAAAAATTTACTTAAAACATTTTTGCCCATTTGAGTTTTTGAATATCTATCAATTTGCAAAACAAAATCAGTGTGGGTTTTAGAATAATTTTTACAACTTCATGTCTTCTGAGCCTTTGAGCAAAGAGAAATATCTTCATTAGAAGATATACTGCAGAAAATTCAACTATGGTTTCTCTAAGTGACTAAGTTCATAACAGTAGGAACAGTAGCAGTTCCTTAATAGGGAACTGCAAGTAAAATTCTCCAAGTTACAGGTAATAATGATGGAAAAAGCAATTGAAATATCATCTATATAGTTTTCCTTTGCTTTTTTTTTTTTCTTAAGTTGAGCCATCCTGCCACCTGTTGGCAGCTCAGCGGCACTCGGCCAGCCCTTCCTTTGCTTTCTTGATGAGGAACTTGAGTTTTTCCTTGCTTTTTATTTAACTTAAAAATATGTATCCAGTATCTTAGGAATTTTTTTTATAAAGTTATAACTAATATTCTTCTTCTTACAGGAAATATGAATCTCTGTGGTATACGCTTTCTTTGGAAATATCTTCTTTTGGTTCTCACACTTGCTAGCAAATCCTGGTTCAGGCTTGATTAATTGAACTTTAGTCTTAAAGAAGGAAGAAACTACTTCAAGAACCAAATTCTCACTGCTTTACAATTAATTATTAGAATGAGAAATTAGATTCACTATACCACATTCAACAAAGTGAATATGAATTTTAATGTAATACTGTATATTCTCAACCAAAAGGAAGTTATACAACAGAGGATCTTGTTGGTGCTTTAGTACCTAAAGATTTAGTGTTTTCAATATAAAAACACATGGCTTTTTAGATATGAACAAATAAGTAGGAGTCTCTTCATCTATTTAGTAAAGCAAATGTGTGTAACATGATAACTAAGGACAGAGAGATATTCATAATGTATTTATTCATAACAATGACAAAATAAAATCCCACTAACTCTGCTTGACAAAAATTTAAGAATCAGCAATTAAAGTATACCAAAGAGACTCAGTTACACAGTTTTATCCGTGTGATTCCCACTACATAAACCCCAGGGATGCTATAAATATATGTCTTTCGTTCATCAGGGAATGAAGAGTAAGCATCCTGAAATACATACATTTTGCCACAACACAGCTTCCCAAAGGGAAGCTTCCCATAAAGAGGCTTCTGGACACTTGACCAAAAACGTCCTTCCTGCCAAGTGTGGTCACAGGCATAGTATCAGAGCTAGGTATCAAAACTCAGGTTTTTAAATTCCAACCCCAAGACTTTTCCCATTATTTCATAATGTCATTTAACTGAGTAAAATGTCTAATTAATATTTGAAGGTGTTGTCTTAACTAGGTTAAGCCTGAGCCATAAGTTGTTTCTGGCTTCTTGTATAGGTCATAACAATGCCTCTTCTGAAATGAGTTAGGGAAAATGTTCCCTTTTTAATTAGCTACTCATGGCAGTCCCTATAAGAGAAAGGAGGAATTCTCATCTCACTGTCCTCTGGAAGAAGAGAAATCAAGTTCATTACCTCGCAATTATAAATCCCAAACTTCCAAGGTGCTGACTTCTCAGGTGTAAAGGGGAGAATTAAAAATCTGTGAGGGCTTTTATACATCCTAGGATTCAGGCGCACATTTGGGAAGCCTTGCTCAAGATAGCCTGTTAAGACGAGGCTCAGTGCTGCCGCCTTTTGGCAAACTCGTATCTATACCTTATTATGAAGCTTCTAAAGAATGGAACAATCAATTTACCTCCACCCCCTAATGAATTAATGATATTTCTAGATATATGAACCCAACTTTTGTGAATAACCTGCCAAGGGAACCAATCAATAGTTCCATGAACAAAGCACCCAAAGAACAGTCTTAAAATTAAAGGTCTCTTTACACATATTACAAACCTACTATAAAAATGTGACCCACTTCATCTGTTCCTATTGTTTCTCCTTTTCCTACCTGACTACACAGAAGGACCTATAGCCTTGAAGTTCTTACATCCTTGCCTGGAAGAGCACAATAATTACTGCATCAACGGTGTTTGTGCATTCCATCATGAGTTGAAGATAGCCATCTGCAGGTAACTGCAAAGAACTCTCCAGTACTAGAGACGGGAGAAGGTGAATTTATTCCTGTGGTGTTTCACATAGTATATTTCCACACACCTCTGTTTTATGGAGCAAAAAGGGTACATGACCTGAATATGGCTCACCAATCCCATTTGTATTTGAATATCTATAGAGTCTTTTTCTAAGCTACCTAATCCTCATTACTCAAAAATATGGTTCCCAGATTAGCAGCATCTGTGTAACTTTGGGAGCTTGTTAGGCATGCAGAAGCTTATGTTCTACCTCCAAACTACTGACTTCATACCAGCATTTTAACAACATGCAAAGATGATTCTGAGTTTTCATGGGGTTGACGGTAGGATGAACTGAAACAAACTATGGCAAAAACACTTCAGGAACATTAAGTTCTAGAGCAACTAAAATACTATTTTTATGATCTTTGATTTGCTCCACATCCTCCTATGAAAGATGGAGTTAATAATTTTCTGGATCAATGCATGTTCTGTACCACCTTTCTTTTCTACCAATAAGGAAAGTTGCACTGATATGGGGACTTTATGAAATGATTATTATAAAATACATAGCTTCTTCAATACCTGTAACAGATTGGCTTTCATTTGGTATTTGCCTCTTTAATTTAAATGACATACTTCCCATTGAAATTTTTCATTATTTCAAATTGGCCTGGTCTTTGTATTTCTATCATCATGACTTTTAAAATTTTACATTCTTTTCTTTTTGTGAAGGTGTTTTACTGGCTATACTGGAGAAAGGTGTGAGCATTTGACCTTAACTTCATATGCTGTGGATTCTTATGAGAAATACATTGCCATTGGAATTGGCGTTGGATTATTATTAAGTGGTTTTCTTTCTATTTTCTACTGCTACATAAGAAAGAGGTACAAAATGAAACAAAATATGAAGGCACTGGGCACTCATTCATTTGACAAATATTTATTGGGCTCCTACAATGTACCCGGCATTGACATGTACAGTTTTCTTAGTGAAAATATGGCTGTAAATCTGGCAATTTCCTACATATTTGTTTTGATGCTTTTTCTCATAAATTCAAACAAGTGGTAAAAAATTTACCTGCACCTGCAATAGGATAGTTCAGTTAACAAGTTCCCGCCATCCACATCTCTGTCTGCCTACATCCAAGTTATAAGTGAGAGGGGCAGTAGGCCCCCCCAAGGATAGAGATTAAGCATGCCTTGTTGACAATTACATGTTCAGTGCCAAATATTGTGCCTGGCACACAACAGACACTCAGTAAATATTTGTTGAATGAAGAAATCAAGAAATTAGTATTAAATGAATGAAAATATGTGGCAAACATAGACCATTTATTTCCCAGACATCAATTGCGGGTATATTTAGGACTTACTATCTACTACTGAAAGCCTAAGAAGATAAGCTTGATCCACTAAATATCAATTACTTATGTATTAATTCTTATTTCTGGCATACCAGTGTGGACTGGTAATTTTTTCCCTTAAGTCCATGTAACTAGGGAAAATCAAGAAATAATTTGAGATAAAAACAAAAAAGTATAAATACATTTCCCTTGTTGTGCTCTATTAGCCAAGTTGTCATTTTAAAAATGACCAAGACTGACTGTACAAACTAAGACACATTTTCATGTGCTTACTACCAGTATTTTGGACCACTGCTCTATGGATCTAACCTCAAACATGCTGCTTTCATGGTGTCTATAAGAATGTGATATCAACTATTAGGATGAGGTCATATTATGGCACCTTAATAATAACCTCCTAGAATAAAATCTGCTATATCAATTGTAAATGAATTAATATAAAATGTTATATCAATTGATATTATTATATCAATTGCCTAAGAGAAGAGAAAGGAAAAACAAACAAACAAAGATATAGGCCTTTTAATGTTAAGGAGGCAGCTGCCTGAGGTCAGGTTCCCTAGAAGCAGAACATAAAATGGGGATCCTTGTGCAAGTGATTGGTCAAGGGATGTCCTAAGGTGAAACCTATAATGAAGTAAGGAAAGCTAGAGCAGAGGAAGAAGCAAAGATGTGACATTAGCTGAAGTCTAGCCTGAGCTTGATTCCACAAGGAGATCTCAAACTTGGATGGCATTACAGATCTACCCCAAGAAGGTGAGGGATCTTGGCTTTAGTACCCTGTGTCACCAAGCATGGATGGTGCTCCTGGCCGGGTAGGGGGCAGGGGCCAAGAATCTCCCAGGAATCTTCAGGCAAAATGCGCCGTTGGCCAAGGGCAATATTTTGGAGAAGGATGCTGGGGATGGACCTACCAGTGGGGTAAGGGGGATCTGAGTGGGGCACCAATGGATACTGCTACACTATAGTATTTACATAATCCTCAATACGCTATACAAACAGCAAATTCATATGGAAATCAATGCTCTGTTTTAGGTGTCTAAAACTGAAATCGCCTTACAACATCAGTTCCAGAGGAAGTCCACTGTGAGGCTTTTCTAAGAAATTTTCATGAGGTTTTGTAAAAATCAGTGGGCCCAAATCTGAAACTTTCAAATGAAACAACAAAACTTCCCAAGCTGACTAGACTTGAAAATAACGGAAGTTGGGATCACGATGAAATGGGAGAATAAATTTCAACATTGGTCTTTAAACTTTGCCTTCATTGGGGTGCCATGGGAGCCAATGGAACAACCTTACAGTGACAGAAGTCAAGTTCATAATACTACTCTGGGTCTGCTGCTCTTGTTGTATGATTATTGTTCTCACTGCAGAGAGACTCAATTGCATGCTTCTGACTATGTCAGATGTGAGTTTTCATGGGAATGATTTTCAACCTTGCAGCCAGCCAAAGCAATGCCATGCTTGGGTTCTTCATGTGCTTACTACCAGTATTTTGGACCACTGCTCTACGGATCTAACCTCAAACATGCTGCTTTCATGGTGTCTATAAAAATGTGATATCAACCATTAGAATGAGATCAGTGTTATGGCACCTTCAGTGAACCAAACATGTGCCTGAAGTCTAAGCCAGAGACAAGGAAATGGAATGTCCAAAGCAGACATACATCATACCCAGCTTGTGACAACACTGTGGAGCCTTTTTCTGTGAAATATGGAATAAGCTAAAGAGTTTCTGATGACTGAAATCTATGTGGATATAGAGCCCTGAGTAGGCAAAACATTTCTGTTTCTGAATGGATTATAAAACGTTGTGTTGGACCCAATCGTCCCCTAATGCTTATGTGCATCACTTCCTTTTATTGTTAGTGGAATGACCTGGTGGCTATCCATTTGGACTGAAATTCTACTAATAAATAAAATTCTGCAATTGGCCCTGAAAGGGAAACTGAAGAATCAGACACAGGAATTTTTTCAGCATATGGAAACTTTTCAGCATGTGGAAACTTTCTTTACCATTTCCGTATACTTGATAGCAGATTTGCACATAGAGAGAGAAAATGGAAAAATGGTAGAAATAACTATTTGGGGATTAGGGTCCTTCCTCTTTAATCATATTTCTTCTATGTGATTAGAATAATCTTGGGCAGGACCCTTAATTTCTTTGAGCTTTGGTTTCTGTTTCTACAAGGCCCTTCTAGCTCTAAAATTTGACAGTGGGAGAAGAAAGAAATTTTTTCACATCTGTGCTGCAAGTGGGAGTATTCTCAACCTCAACTCTAAACCCAAAACACACCACTGGGTATCATCTTCATTGTATACTTTGGTGTTTGTTTTGTAAAATAATAATTGAAGAATCTGTTTTTAAAGCAAGTAAAACAAAATTTAAAAATAATATCAATGATTTTTCCTTTAGATTCAGTCTAAAACTCTGGACATTCTTTCTATTGTGATGTAGATAAGCAAAATAATTTTGATCATGAGATGGATTAAAAGAGGATCAACCATGAATATTCTTACAATGGTAGCTTAGTAACAAGCCTTTCACTTATATTAAGCTACAGTTTTTTATTCACTCCTAAACAAAGCTACATCCTGCTTTCCTTGGAGTAGAAGGTATTTCACTTGCTTTGTTTTGCCTACAGAAGGAATTTAAGGCAGATGGATTGCACGTCAGCACTTTCTGCATGCCCTCACAAAGTATGTGAAGGTTACATCATACCAAGGAGTGGGGAGGTGAAGGTTCCTCCCAGTGACTCCAGCAGCCACACCTAAAATGCACAGGTGTTAAAAAGCTAGGGAGAGTCCAGGAAGAAACAATAAGACTTAATTAAGGACTGCCTCCTGATGAAAGGAAAGAGGAATTAATGCTGGAGTCTGGAGACACAATAACCTAAAAAGTTATAAATATGTGCAGCCTCTAAATATTTCTAAATTATAAACACAATATAATTGAAATTAAGACAAAGAACTAAACATTCCCAGATTGCCAAAGCAAAAAGCACACCAAAACAAAACAAAACAAAAAACTGAGATTCAAATTTTTTCACCTGTGGAACAATATGCATTAACAGTATAAAATCTACCCAGTGACGATGGTACAGAAGTTGAGAGTATGGCTCATGAGAAGCCATCTGTTTATGGTCAGCCATACACAATGATCATGTGATCCCATAAGTCCTAGAGTTAAATTTGCAGGAAGGAATCTCTGGCATTCCTATGGAGCTAGAGCCGCACCTGGCAATATTTATGTATGTAAGCAGGACTTAAGTGGAAAAATGCATAAATACAAGATGTTCTGCAAAATTGTTCACCTTCTATTTTTTCCCTATGTGTGATCAGACCCTGAACAACAAGCCTACCAGTGAAGCCCCTGCATCAGAACTACATTTTCAGCTATCAACCTATGGGTCATTAGGTGGGGTGGGTCATTTAGGAAAATAATGAGACATGCTTCTGGCATTTTTGGCTAAATCAAATTGGTCAAGGGGTTATCAAGGTCTTTAATTTCCTTCCTGTTTGCTCTCCTTCCTGTGTCTATCCTTCAATTTTTTGAGAACACATTCTAGGATATCAATATCCTTCATTCATTAGCATTTTGTAGCATGATGGGGTTGGGAGCAACACTATAATTTCAGTCACACTTGAGTCAGTAAACTTATGAAAAGGGAATTATAGTTGCTTGTTATTGTATGCTCTTTCCCCAAATTAGTTTTTTGTATAATTATGTTTTTATAACATTTGAAATGGATGAAATTATAACATAGTTCATCTTTTAGTGTTTCCTAGCATGATACAAATCTAATCCTTTAGTTTGGAAACGTCCATTTTGGTGACATCAAGAAGATTTTTATTTATTTTATGTAATTGAAAAAAAATGTCTTAAGAAAATCACAAGACAAACACCAGTAATTTAAGCTTTTGATGTTGAACATAAGGACAATTCCTCTTAGCAGGGGACAATGAGTAAGCAAGCCATCTAACTTCTCTGCATTACAAAATGTAACACACTCTCTGTGGTGTGATGTAAATATTGATAGCCTGCAACTCACGCTCATGGGAGGGGTTACTAAAATCGCTCTTGCAAAACACCACTCTTTCTGGCTTACATCATGGCTGCATGACATCAGGATACTAGCATCTGCCAAAATGAACTGGAAGTGTTGAAATTTAATTCGTCAAAGTCTGGCACTGCTAATCTGGGTGAGTTCACATTTCTGTCCAAACCTTTGGCACAGCCCTATTCAGTAGCACATTCAGAATCATCTCTTCCAAATTCAGCTCCAAATTCTTGCTAATTATTCAATCAATGAACGGACAGCTCAGAGTAGAAGAGCCTCAGCAGTTAATTTCCTAAGAATATAAAGACGAAGCCCCTTGAGAATACCTGTGTGACTAAATGTGTCCCTTCCTTATAGTTCACTCCTCTGCCAACGCTGCACATGATAGTTCCAGATTGTGGGCACCACCCACAGTTTGCAAAGAGACATCTCATAAAGATTAGGAATGTGATGATATGGTAACAAGGAGAATTTAATTGTTTAGTCAGGGCTCATCTACCTGATGTCCTTTCTTTGTAATTTTTATGTCTCAGATATTACTGGAGCATAAAACATTTAGATTGAAATTAGGTGAAGACAACAGTCAAGCAAGTATCAAACTCGCAGTGCTTTTGATTTTTAAGAGGAATGTTAATGAGGCCTCACACCTGTCTGAAAAGAATGGCATCTCTAGATCTTTAAAATCACACAAAAATATTGAGTCAATATTAAGTCCCTTCACAAATCAAGATGAAGTAAGTGTATAATATGGCTACCATTGATGAGCGCTTACAATGTGTGAAAAGCATTATTAGCATTATTTAAATTAATCCATGCCTGTGTGTCATTGAAGCTTAGAGAAGACAATTCACTTTTTGAAAGTGATACAGCCTTTAAGTGCAGAGCCTAGACCTGAACCAGGTAGATCTGAGCCAAAATCTCTCATCTAAACGCTATATGAAAATGCTTCCCAATAGTTTTTGGAAAATATTAGTGTTGGCGGTTAATTTCTAGATGATCTTAGAAATACAGCCAAGTGATTCATAGGCAAATGAAAAAAGTTCCTTTCTTTAAAATATATAAAGTAATAACTTTTGTCATGTATCAACCATGAAAACTCTGTTCTGTCATCTGCTGATTATTAAGACATGCATACCACACATAGGGTGGGGCCAGAACAGCCTCAAATGCCTGCTGACTATTGAATGTACAGTCTGGGGAGAGAATGTAGATGGTAAATGAACGCTGGTTTACCCTCAGGACTTAAGGAATGAGATGGACACTTGGGAATACCTGACCCCAGCCTGTGGACAAGGGTTCTCTGGCACTGATGTTACCCTAACTGTGACACACCTGGCTCAGTTTGGTGTTAGGATGAGGAATGAGTGGTTTTCACATCTACAGGAAAATCTCATCAACTGCCTTTTCACTCTACCACCCTCAATCTTATCCCTAGCCCCACATACATCTTAGAGGAAAACAGTCAATGGTGGTGGTGCAGCTTGGGGCCAAAATCGCAAGCAACATTAATCAGTGCAATGGATGGGCATCTTAATGACCTGTGATCTTGTCCAGCTGTGTGATTATTTCACTTTGCTGGGGCCCTTTGGACATGATATTCTTGTCTGTTAAGAGAAGTGAGACTCTAAAGATGATCTCCACATCCCCTTCCTGGTTGGAAATTGTATGTTGAAAATGTGCAGGTTATAAGGCAGATCCAGCCCAGACATAGCTCCTTAGGTTTTCTGGGTGTTTGTTTTAAATCAAGCCCACAACTAGAAATCAAGAGATTTTACTATAAAAATGTAGCTATTCTAGCTTCTTTTGAAAACTAGAAGATATAGAGCCCTGACCCTATCTTGTTCCATAGCTTTGGTTAGAAGGAGTGTGCTTTGGACACCCAGCCTTGCTTCTGTCACAGGGTTCCTACGGGCCTTTAAGTCTGAGCCTTGGTTCTTTGACTGGATTAATTTTAAGGTCCTGCCCTATCTAAACTCTTCTGAGTCTAGTAATCGAGGTGCCTGTAGAGGGCCCTGTTGGACTATTTCACAAGCCATGACAGCATCTCCGGATGGGTTGCCCAGGAATGTGCTCTTCAGAACCTACCTTCACCTGGAAGCTGGTGACTATGGCATCCGATGACTCAGACATTGCCCTACCCACGCCCTCTGTCACTCTCTGCTACAATCTTCACTAGATTTGTTTTCTTAATGTTCAACCTTGCTTATTTTGCCTCCCTGCCCCAAAGCCAATGCCGACTTCCCATTGTAAGCCATGTTTAGGAAAGACTCCTGTCCTGGCAGTGTGGGCCTCCCTTTGTCATCTGCCCTCCCCCCAGCGCTCCTTACGCAGATCCCACAATTTCTATCTGTATGTTAGGGTCTCTGCTGTTTCTTTCATATGTATATTACCCTCCTCTGTCTCCCAAGATCCTACACACTTTTTTTCTTCTTCTTCTAATTTTGCCTTTTCCTTGAAGAATTATGTTATTTACAAATGTCATCTCCCTCTCCTTTGAACTCCCTGGACATCCTTTAAAAAAAAAAACAAAACAGTGGTGCTACATTCTGCCTTGTATTATAATGATTTATGTTTAAGTTCCAGTGGTTAATAATATGAATGATGGACTTCATTCATTCGGTTCATACCATAGACTGAGCACAGTGCTAAGTCATTTATATACAGCATCTCTTGCAGTCCTCAGAGACAGCCAGAAGGAGTTTTACTGGGGTACTGGGGGCTGTGGTGTTTAAGTGTTTAAGGAGATTAGTCTATGGAATTTAATGGACAGAGGCTTAAATCCCAGCTCCACCCTTACTAGCCCTGCTACCTTGATCAAGTTTCGTAACTTTGACGAGCCTGATTTTGTCACTTGTAGAAAGGGGATAATATTTATCTCCTAGAGTGTTTTCAGGGTGATAGTAGGTGATCAATGAATATGAACTATTTTATTATGATTGCCTTCTATTTTTCAAATTAAGAAACTGAAATTATGAAGTTTAAGTAACTTTCATGATATGCAACCTGTACATGGCGGAACCTGTATTTGACCCCAAGGCCTGCTTCATTCAGACAGTGAATTGACCATGGCCATTGCCCTGACCAGGCCAGTGTGTTTGGAGCAAGATCTGCAATCTCAGGCTGGCCAAGTGGTGCGTTGGCTAAGAGCTGGCTTGGGACACCAGATTCGGATCCCTCATATGAGGACCAGTGACACTGCCCTCTACAGCTAAGATGCTGAACAACAGCTCAACCTGGAGCTGGGCTGCCATGAGGCGATGGCCTAGGCTGCAGCCCCTGCTGTAGTGCCTTGCCATGGGCTACCGTGTGTAGCCAACAGCTGTAGTGAGCGGCCGTCCAGAAGCCGGCGGCTGATCTGCCTCGCCCGGGAAGAGCGCAATGATGGTGCCAACCTGGGCCAGTAAAGCAACATCCTCCACAACTAGACTGAAGAAAAAAAGGACAGCAACTTGTCTGTTCCCCTTCCCCCAATTCCCCCGCGCTGTTCCCATCCCCCAATTCCCCAATAAAAATCTTTAAAAAAAAAATCCGCAATCTCAGAGAGCTGGGTTTTTTAATCCCAACTGCTCATTAATTCTGTGATGGAGAATAAATTATTTAACCCCTCTAAATCTCAGTAGCCTCCATTATAAAATGGAGATAATAATTACACCTAACTTATAGGGTCATTTTAGGATTAAGTTAAATTAGATAGCTAATGTACATAAAATATCTAGAACACAGGACTCATTCAATAAGTATTTTACTTATAATTATTAAATATTTGAAACTGCTGTTGAAGCTCTTATGGGCACTCAATAATCAGTTTTATTATAAAATGACATATGCATTCCTCAAAATCATCACACTGTAAAATTGAGCAATAAAAACCACAGGGCTTATGGGAAAACTAGGGCTAAGGGATATAATGCTCAAAAACTTTGTGACGCATGAAAAAAATAAACCTAATAAAAAGTAGCATAGTTTTATACATTTTAAATGATAAATAAATATTTATAGGTTTACATGGCATTTTATCTTGAAAAGCACCTGGAGTTTGCTTGTGGAAGTGGGTGTCAGAAGGGTTGTAGTTTGTGAGTTATTGTCAAGTGAGGGAGGAAGGGTTATAGAAATGGAATGAAAAGTTGTAACAGCAGATGTGGATGAGTGTAGCTCATAACACAAATGTGAACCAAGGTATCTGGTATATGTTCGAGACTTAAGCGTGTATGTGTGTGTGTGTGTGTGTGTGTGTGTGTGTTGTGCAGTTTATGCTACTCAGCTCATTAGCTTTGTGCATTCATCTAGTGGTTCTATCAGATAAAATCATGCATAAGCAAACATGAAACCCTGTCATGCTCAAATTGTTCCTTTATTTTGGAATAAGTTCATGCTTTCAAAACAAGCATTAAAATAGAATTGACTGCCTTGAAATCATCACAATCCTTGCCTCTCAACCTAAATCTCAATTATAATTATTAAGCACGTCAAACATTCTGACTTTATTAGGGACTCAAGACCTCGGGACTAGGGGTTATGATTCCTCTCATGTCTCCACCTAAATTTTAACAGAATGTCAGGGACATAACTCTAAGGCCCCATGTTGCTGTGGACTCAAAATCTCTCAGGCAGACTTGTTATCATACTGTTCAGTCTTTTCCTTTGTCAAGCTATAAATATAAAACATCATGACGATATTTTCCTTCCTAAATTATCACTCTATGAAGAGTTCCAATTCTTCTTTCTTTCATCAAGCACTCTCTATGCTTCTCACCCTGATCCAAATTGATTTATCCTCTGGTGGTTTGTGGTTGCATGGCTAGGGAAATATACGACGTGTAGTAAAATGTAGTAAAACTTCGTCTGTTTGCTTTTCCAGCATCCATACCGCTTCTGGAAACAGTACCCCAGTTTTGCTTTGGAGGACCATCCTCCTTCACCTTTATTGCACCTTGTCTAGGTGTGCTTCCCTCGCCTCTAATCCCAAATCCAATCAGAACATTTCATCATGCCCAATGCTAGGATTAACTAAGGATAGGCATGCAACCTAATCTAGATCAATGACAATTAGTCCTGGGATTTTTATTGGAGCCCTTTGGAGAAAACATTCTCTATTTCAGATTGCATTACTGACATACTAGAATTAAATCTTAGATTTATCCAAAGGCCATCAGTGCTACCACAGGACAATAACCTGCCCAAGAAGGAAACTATGATAGGAAGAAGCAGTGAGAAGTATGAAAGTGATTCTGACCCCTGATGACAGTTTTTGAGGCCCTGATTCGAGCCCTGCTTGAAGTTCCAACTCTGTCCCTGGACTCTTTAAGATGAATTAGTCAATACATTTCATTGTTAGCTTAAACACTAACCATCTTCCTAAACCATCAAATTTATTCAAAGATGAGAGTAGAGAATTCTAAGTATTTTGCTCCTTAGAGGTTTTGTAAGATATATGCACAGTCTATCTTTTCCATAGAGACGCAACTCACTCTTTTTAAAAATGAAAGCTCAAAGACTAAAATACAATGAGTGACATACAATGAGTGACAGAAAAATATGCCTTTTTTTGGTTTGTTTTTTGTTTTTCAAGCTTTGGAGGATCTGGATATTAACATTGCAGTTAGCACCCCACATGACTGTGTTGGAAAGTATGCTTTCTAAATGTATCTACCCAGAAGTCCTGCACAGATAGATTTTTCTGAAAAATTAGTTTCTAACCTCAGAAGTTAGTGGCAGTTTTAAACCTTTAATTACATAAACCCGTCTCCCATAATTCAGTTTCACTATCTGCCAGACTTATACGATACCAAATGTTTTTCTTATTAAATATACAGAGTTCCATTGTTCTGCAGTAAGCTCCTAGATTCCACAAATGAACAGAAAATTCTGTTTTTAAACACTGTTCTTCATATACTTAAAATAGGACATTCAACTCATATACTTATAGAGAAAAATATTCATGATGAGAAAAATTCAGAGCAACCTGAAATCAAGAGGCATGTTGAACAAGAGTAATTCGGTTTCCTGCCTTGAACTTGCAAGTGAAGCAGCTGAGAACAGGGTTTTGACCACAAATAGTGAACCAGTAGCAGCAGCAGCAGATCTGACAAATTCTAAGAGGTACTTAGATGCTTAATTAAAGATCAGTGGTAATGCTATGAAGTGCCACATGATGCCAAATTTTGGTGCTTCTTAGGTGAGGAAAACCCCAAGATAAATGCATGAAATTATCAGTCTTACTCCATGTACTTAAAAACTATCATGCACATTTGAAAGAAAATCATCAATCTGTTTGCAACTTCAAAGAGAATTCTTAACCAGGTAGAATGGAGAACCCAGGGGGCCAAATTAAATTTGTTTAAAACATCTTTCAAAGTCAATCTCACAATCACCTTGAATGGTAAATTGGATATAACTGGTGAATGCTTTATGAGTCTCACATTGCTCATAAAACCACCAGTTGAAGCCAAGCTGAAGACTATGTCTGCATAAAACAACTCACATTTTACTATTAAACAAATGACTGAAAGATTGAGCTCAATTCAATTTTGTTTAACTTAAGAATTGGATGGAAGCAGAGAATTTAATTGCTGCATATTATGTTATTAAATTTGTGGACGATGTTTGTGATGACATAAACTGGTGAACTGCTTTAAGGTAAAACAACTAAAGACATTTTAAAGAATTTTTGGGGATTCATGGTATTGATTGGAAAAAAAGGTACAATGTTTACATATATGGGTAAAATTTATGACACAAAATTTCTGATAAAGTAGCCCATTACAAAGCCACTGCGCACTGTAGTTGGACTCTCTTCATTTCAAAGAGTTTGCTCCATGATTTTCTCAGTATGTCTAATGGGTTGGTATTGTTAACCTAAAAATGAAAGGCGAAAGTGAGAGGCAATTAGTGTTTACTTGAGATCCAAAGGAATAGCTATTCTGGAAGTGCTGATTCAGACAGAAACCCAAATAATATTCAGATTAGGGGGTGAAGGTAAGAAGGCATTTATGAGAAAGGGCAGGGGAATAATTACCTAAATAGAAGGAAGGAATTTCTATGGGTGTTAATAGGCTAAGAAAGTAATATCTATAGTTGCAGATAAGCAAACATGGTGATGCGAATATTAAAGAATGTGTATAATTTTCAGTCTGGTAGCCATATCGTCTGCTTTTCTGTTCTCTTTGCAAACAGTTATTTGGAATCCAGTGCTGCTTTAGGCCCAGGCCAAAGGTTATTTTGTCCAATTTCAACATTCCAAAGGTTTGAGGAGTAAGACATGCAAAGCAGCTCCTGTGGGATGGCAGCTCAAGCGCCATTTAGAAATGGCTCATTTACATTATCTTTTACAGTGTAAATGTTAACATTTATTAAAACAAAACAAAATAAAAATTACCATCGTTTGAAGTTTTGCTTTAGACAAATGTGTAATAAAATCAGAATAAATTAAAAAGTAATGGAATAAGAAGACTTTAAAAACTAGTTCTACCCATATGCTGGTATAGAGGAGCAAAGCTGCTTATCCATTTTTAAACTAAAATTGAATAATTGTTTTCTATATGAATAATAATGATTAAAAAGTAAAAATATTGCAACAAGGGCCAGCTGAGTGGATCAGTTGGTTAAGAGCTCGTTCAACAGGGTCTGAGCAACAGGGTCTCTGGTTCGATTCCCACCCTGAGCTGAGCTGCCACTGAGCTGCCAACAGGTGGCAGGATGGCTCAGCTAAAAAAAATAAATAAATAAAAATAAAAATAAATTAAAAAATAAAAATATTGCAACAGTGAATTTAAAAAAACTAAAAAGCAAAAATGAATCCATGGCATATCATAATAACATAAAGTTTAAAAGCTAGCTTATTTAATAAGTAATATTTTTTAGACTGCCCAACCAATTTATGTAAATGCTTCCATGAATAATAAATGTGATTGTATATAATTTCAAGTATTCATTTTATGGGCTATTTCTACCCATTTTCTAGTAATCAGATTACTTCAATTACAAATTCTAGTAATCTACATATTTCTTACCATCAGAAAATTATAAGCAGTTCCCATCAGATATATTAGGATTGATTATCAAAATCCCTCATAGGTCTTGAAAATCTTCTTTATATTCATTCACATTTCAATCTCTCCTCTGGTGCCATTTTTCCTCAAAAAACTGTCCATGTTCTTGGTCTTTTCCTAATTTCATCCTACAGATCCAGTGTATAAATCTCAAACTGCAGGATGATACATTTTTAATTCCACTTTCCTTTGCTATGTGTCCCTTGGATGAAACTGTTCACTGAGTTCTTAGTATCAGTTGTTCTAAAATTTAACATGACCTGGCAGTAATCAAAGACATGACTGACTTCCACAGGAATCTGGGTACTCTGAGTACCTGTTTTGATGTACCGACTACCTTGCTCTTTAATGCAGCCTCTGTATCAATGGTTCTCAAAATTCAGTGTGCACAGGAACCATGTGGATAGGAGACTGATTAAAGTGAAGATTACTGGGCTCCAACACAGATCAAGAGGATCCGGATTCCAGGAGGCAGTGCTGAGGCATTGATATTTTTAACAGCACTGTACATCCCCTCCCTAACCCAATTAGTCATGGAAACACACTGTTGGAGACCTTTGATAGCAGAGATGAAAGCAAGCAATGCAATCATTTTCTTTGCAAGGAGTATATTGCTCCTAACTCTGTCATTTTTTTCTTTATGTTTTTAAAAGATGCGGGACAATCTGAAATATTCAGCACCAGAGACTTTCAAACAGGTTGCTTTTAAAGCCTCTTGTGTACATGGATAGGGATGTTGTAAAATTTAGCCACGGGATTTTTTTTTTTGGCTTCAAAATTATATGAGTATATTTGTTCTAGCTTGTTGAGCAGCAGCATGAATAAAACAGGAAAAACAAAACTTATGGCAGTTAAAATTATGTGTCACAGCTTTTCCTATGTGTCATCAATGTAAAGTTTTTCATATGCTAATTCTTGTTAGTGTGAGGCTGTCAGACAAAAATAAACGCGTGATTAGAGTCACTTTCACCAGAAAAGGGAAAATGTCCCTTTCAGTATAGGTATGAAAATGTTCTGACATGTTAATTGATGCCAAATCCTGTGGTTGTGCTGACACCACAAACATTCTACACTTTCTTTCATATTGATTTATTACCTGCTCAGCACATTCATTTCAGTAATTTGACTTTTATTGCCTATCATGTTATCCAAGCAATGCCTTCTCAAAAGTACAGATGGCCATTCTACCATCAGTTCTATTTTGAAGTACCTTGAAAACTTTGAAGTGCAAAGACAGACAGGTTGAACTTCAATAATATCACTTCAGTGGGAATGCTCATTTACCATGAACACAACTCTGCCACAACAAAACTATGCATGGTGGATTTGCTGTATCTCCCACTTAGCACAGCAGCAGGCTCTGGTGCCACCATTGGGGTTCAAAACATAACTTTCCTAAGTTCTTCTTCCATGATTTCTGATATCACCATAATTGTATCATTTTATGCTTACATTTTAACTTGGAAAATGATGATAGTGTCAGAAATTGCTCCTGCATGACTGAACTCAGAAGAAAGAAATGGATATCGCCAGGTATCAACAAGAGAAGTATCCCAGAGTCATAGAGCAGACGTTGAAGAAGCTACAATGGGAAGAAAGGGATAGGTGGCTGGGCTCTGTAACAGAAATATGTCTTAGGGCCCTGGATGTTACAATTTCATGGGCAGATGTTTAGAGCCCTGAGCTAGGAAAGCTCTGCTCTGTTTATAAACAGGCATAGAAATCCCCACCAGACAGCCAGGATCACAGTGCAGAGGCTCCTGGACTTACAATGGGGTTACATTCCAACAAACCCAACATCAAGTTCCAAATATTATAAAACAAAAATGCATTTAATACACCTAACCTACTAAACAGCATAGTTTATTTAGCCTAGTCTACCTTAAAAGTGCTCAGAACACTTACATTAGCCTAAGTCATCTAACACAATGAATACACTGTACGGTATCGGTTGTTTACCCTCATGACTGCATGACTGACTGGGAACTGGGGCTCTTTACCACTGCCCAGCATCACAAAAGAGTATCGTACAGCATACTGCTAGCCCAGGAAATGATCAAAATTCAAAGTACAGTTTCTACTGAGTACATATTGCTTTTACACCATTGTAAAGTTGAAAAAATTATAAGTCCAACTATTATAAGTTGGGGACAGTTTGTGGATAGAAAATTGCTCTTCAAGTTGTGAGTAAAAACAGAATCAACTTCAAGAAACCAGAGCTTGAAGATATACCAAGCAATGATACAAATCACGTTACTCATATGGTATGGGAATCCAAGCTGAGAAATTCAGTGTAGGACAAAAGAGAAAAAGATTCAGGACATATGACCCTCACTGCACCTAACCAGGGTTCATCATAAAGCCTTATAGAGAGGTCTCCATAACCAATGGTACGTCATGGCCTTCCAGAGAATGTATTTCTAGAGAATATATTAGAGGAAGCAATATAAGTTCCAAAAAGAAATAACAGGTTTGAGGAAATATTCAAGAAATAATGGCTAAGAACTTTCAGAATTGAAGCAGGACGTGAATTTTTAAATTGAGCTCTCAGACATAGATTTCATAATAATTATGCTTACTATTTCAAGGAGATAAATTACAATTGAAAATTTAGGCAGAGAACAACAAAGAGAAACGAAGATATGTAAAATCCGAAGTGGTTTACACACACACACACACACACACACACACACACACACACACACACACGCGCGCGCGCGCGCGCCATAATTATGTATTGAACACACACAGTTTCTGGTAGTGGGTTGCCTCTGTGGAGGAGAAAGACGGGAATGAGAAGGGAATGAGGATGGAACACGGCATACATGGCCTTCCGGTTCAGTGCAAGGAATTCAGTGCCACACAGCCTGGGTTTCTTAGCTCCACCAGTTACCACCTGTGTAACCTTGGGCAAACTACTTAACCTCTCTGCACCTCAATTTCTTCATGTGTAAGATGGGGGTAATCATACAAGCTAACTCACAGAATTGCTGTGAGGATTAGTTAACAGCCGAGTTAATACATTAGTTAACAGAGGAAATTATGAGTTAA